TATTATGGCTAGCATCAGAAGGGAAGGAGGCTAAAAAACAATTAAGACTGTAGGTGTGATCACATGATTAAAAACCTACTCATTTTAACATATACTGCATTAATACACATGTGTAAAAAGGAGTAATGCTTCAACTGAAATCCCCTGCAGATGCCTCTGATCATTATATGATGTTGGAACTTTTAGTTTACCTTTCAGCATTACCATTGGTGTATACCAATGTTTCTCAGCCTTGGCTACTTAAAGATGGGTGGACTTCAACTCCCAGAATTCCTCAGTCAGTATATACCATATATTGGCTTCAATTTCTGGAATTCAAGAGTTCATTAAAAAAAAAAAAAAAAAACAAGCAAAGCTAAGCACATGCAGAATTTTTTTAAAAAAATCTTATGTCTCATATCCTGACAGATACATGATTCATATTAAAAATAGTTCTATAATATTGATTGCATTAAGGACAACAAAGCATTTTAAAACGATGTTGGGTTCAAAGTATAATTTCAGTCTTTGTGATTTCTCAATTTATAATCTGTATTCCAAGTTGAAAACTATAAATAAATATTTGTGCATTTCCCTGCAAATCATGATGGATTAATAACCATATTAATACTTTGGATCAAGTTAATTGTTCATTAATTTTTAAAATAATTTGGGTTGATGATAGATACATTGTGAAATGTCAATATACTCAATTAAAACATATCTTGCTTTGACAATTTGATCCAAATGAATTAGCAGTGTCTAAAACTCCTGATTTATTGCCTCGTTTCACTTAACATCTGTAAGTTTGTTAATGTGTTGGAAAGATAAATATAATAATGTAAATGTACTCTTGAATTATAGATTAGCGTCTTGCACTTATCATTTTATCAAGAATTATGAGTTTACCAAGCATTGTTGGAAAAACTTAATTATGGTATATAGTTTTGATCCATCAATACATATGTACTACTTTCTTTTTGTGACTGCTTTCTAGTAATGGAATACCAATATTTCATATAATGATGGTACCATTATAAGTTTAAAAATTGGGCCAAATAATCTTTATATTTTATTTTTTTTAATTGTGTGCTTTTGCACTTTAAAAAAAAAAAACCCTCCCCCCTTTAAATTAAAACAATAGAAAGAATTTCAGTTCCAATCTTATAACAGTTCCTACGTATCACCTATGCTTAGCGGTAGAAAGTAGTCCATTAATGTTTTTATGTAATGAAGGACTCTGCCATTTATTATTAGTGCAAACAATCACAAAGGGGGGGGGGATCATGCTATACTCACATTGCTTTCAAAAGACCATCCCATGATAACAAGAAAAAATATTTAAAAAATACTGCAGTGAGAAAAAGAAAATCTCACTTGATAAACATTAAATGATTAAATCATGTAATTATCAACATTAATATTGTTCCAAATGTTGAACCAAATGAAAAAGGAAAAGGAAAAGGAAAAGGAAAAGGAAAAGGAAAAGACATTCAGTGAATGAAAGAATATTAATTGGGTTCATTTTAAAGTAGAGGAAGAAAATAAGGGGACAGGAGAAAATATAGGGAAGATCACAGCTATGAAAGGAGATGGCAGTTTGTTCTTAAGATCATATAGAAATCAATATAAATATGTAATAAAGACCCAAAGTTGAGGGTATCTAAGAGTAGATGAATACAAATAAATATAAATCCAAAATATTCCAAAAAAGTTTTTTTCCCCAACAGATATTTAAGGAAAGAATGCAAATGACCAGCAGTTTGTAAGGAATATAAATCCTTCCATTCCCCACCATCCAGTCAGAGCTGAAATAGCTTTTTGGATGAGAAGTAAAACATCTTGAAAGAAAAACCAGAAAGTCCAGTTGCCTCTTGCAAAAACACTTTTGGGACAACCATGACTTGGATGACTGAGAATCTCCATAGACATTTAAGGAAGTAAGATACCTTTTAGATTTCTTGCAATTTCTAAGCACCTTTTTATAACTTCAAAACAAAGATGGCTAGAAATCGGATGATGGATGGACTGAAGCAGGGGTGGGTTCTACTTACCTTTACTACTGGTTCACAACGGAATCGCGCAGATCACTTCTGATGACATCAGGGTCAGTGGGTGAGGCTTCCTGCCAGTTTTACTACCGGTTCTATGGAACCGGTCTGAACCGGGGGCAACCCATCACTGGACTGAAGGCACCTCTCTTGAGTGATACTTCTTGCAGTTTTAAACATTTTTTGTTATTGCTTTGGTGTATTTTTTTAATGAAGTCAGAGAAAAAATATATCAGACTTTTAATCGCCCTATTCAATTCCCTGGAGAGAAGAGATCATGGATAAAATCTCAATAAGGAATCTTAACAATACATGTCCCAGGTTTATCAGATGTATGAAAAGAAGAAACTGTAACAAGGAGAAACCTCTCAGTATTTAGCTTATAAATCAGGTAGAGCAATTTTTCTCAAGCTTAGCAATTTTAAGATGTGTGGACCAATTCCCAAAATTCCACACATGTGTGAAGTCCACACTTCTTAAAGTTGCTAAGCTTGAGAAATCCTGAGCTAGAGCCAAAACTTTCTGAACAACTGGCTGGCCTTTCTTATCTTCCCCTGGATTTCTAATGCCTAGAAGGTTAACTTGCTAAAAATGAGATTCTTAAATTGTTAGTTTTCCTGAAGAGTTTTAAGCAATTTAAGTCATTTAACTTCTCACAGCCTTCCAACTGAGATAGTCTATTGTGTTCTCAGTCACTTTCATTCTGGATGTTCAGTGTCTTTCTTACATGTTGTATCTTGTGTAATCTCAAAGAAAAAACGGTTTGTATCTTCTCAGCAGTTGCCAAAGTGATGCAATTTTCTTGGGCACAATATAAACAGATAATGAATGGCCTTTCAAAATGAAACTGGATTCCCAATTCTGAATTCAAAATCATGTCTCTAACCTCACATTTACTGGAATGAAGTTATAGAAATGTATGTCAAATTAATTTTGTTGTAATTGTGGAATTATTTTGTTTTAAAAGACCTTAAGAGGAATGGGGTAGATGGACATTTTTATTGTATAATGAAGCTGATGTTAAGTGGTTAATATTGATGCAATAAAACATCACATTAAAGCATATAATTGGTTAGAGGTTTGTACTGGGAATAGGAAGAATTCCCTAATCCTATTTGGCTTGGGAGTTCAAGCCAAATTTACTTACGTAAACTTTTTTGAGGCTCTGGGCTAGTCACTATCAATTAAACAGACAAAGAAAAAAAAGATAGAAAGATTGGCAGTACACAAAATGGAGGGATGGTTGGTGAAAATGATAAAACTTGTTGTGATGGCTAAATTGATTTCCTTAATCAGAGAAAAGACAATGTCTGCATTTATTGCTTACTAGAAACCCCTTATAAATTTTTGTGTGAAACAGGAAAAAAAGAACATATGATTTATCAATTTGATGATTAGACAAGATAATTACATAGAGTTACATTATAGCCAGAGAATAAGAAGTAAAGTTATAATTGTATTTTTAACTTATAAAGAAAGAATGTTATAAAGAATATCACAAGCCACTTCTGTCGAGCCCAAGCCTCCCAAGCCACTAATTTAGATTAGTGAAGTGGCGGGGGTATCCAGACGAAGAGGCGTCATGGCTATTAGAGAAGGATATGAATGCTCCCCGGCTCATCCATCGGTTCCACTGAAAATACCCCCTAAAACCAAACTCTGAAACTAACATAATTACCTTATGTCTTACAGAGGATCCCCTGGTGAAGGGGAGCTGCCTGTCGAGCCCAAGCCTCCGTTCGACAATAATGGGATGGGGAGGAGGAGAAAGAGAATGGGCACATGTACCTGATACTGCAAGACTGCGCCCAGCAAACCAAGCAAACGAGGACGCAGGACTGCATCCATATGCTGAACACAGAAACTCACAAGTGGTGGTGGTGGCATCGGGGTTTTGTGGTCAGGGCGGCGGGCTAGGGAACGGCGGAGGAGGGGCAGTGACCGGGGCGCTCCCAGGAACGAAGCACCCGGAAGAGGGGCGTGTGTGATTGCCTGTCACAGCTGAATGCTCTCCAGCCAGTAAATTAGGGAGGGGTGGAGCAAATGTATAAAGGGCGCTATGTAGCCTCTGTTTGTAGCGCCAACTTTAAACTACTATAGCGCTCAGCGTTGTTCCGGAGCTCCTGCTAAGCATTAAACCAACTTCACTGAAGACCCTGCATGTGTCCCGTTGTGTTTTCTTGCTACCTGCGAGTCGCCCGGGAGAAGGAGCTGAGAACTTCTTTGTATCTTTCTTTTCTATTTTTATTATACTTATTTTCCTCACTTGTACTTTTTGCTTTCTCTTTTTATCTCTTGGATTTACTTGTTCTTTGTATTAATTTTCATCTTTTTAAAAATCTTTAGTAAATTTATATAACAATGGAGAAAGAAAGAAAGAAAGAAAGAAAGAAAGAAAGAAAGAAAGATTCATCATATAAAATCAATTATTTCCAAGTACTATTATATAAAGTTTGATTTCATATTGATTTTGTATCAATTTCACTTCCATTTTGAAATAAATTATGATTCACGGAAGATACTGCTATGGAATCCACTTTCAAAAAGTTGTTCAGCATTTGTGGAAAAATAGGGAGAAAGCAAAGGGAACTGAAACAAAGTTCTATTTGATTTGCAAATCTAGTGCTTAATCCTGCTAATATAAAAATAATCTATGAAATTAGAACAATGCATCACATAAAATAAATGAATGCTGCCTCATTTATAAACTCCTCTGATTAGAGATGGACAAATCACTCTGTACCCACTACATAACATTTTAATCAAATCCATTCTGTTTTACAGAAGGAAAACAGACGGGTGTCTGTGATAGACGGGTGTCTATTTTAATTTTTAATTATTGTTGTGTGTTGTGTTGTGTTTTTAAATTGGCTGTACACCGCCCTGAGTCCTTCGGGAGAAGGGCGGTATAGAAATAAAATTATTTATTTATTTTATTTATTTATTTATGAAATACAAACGGCACAAGTCATGCAAATTGACATTTATTTTTGCACGCAACTTTTCTTGATGGATGCGCTTTGCTCAACAACTTCCCTCAGTGCACACATTTTGGGTTACAGCTCTTTAGTTGCATTGCAGAGTAGAAGGCCATGCTTCTCGGTTATCATTTCATAATCCAGTAGTCACTGAAATAAACCGAAAAGACAGGCTTTATGTATCTTTCCCCTGACAAAGCTCTTTCTGAATACTCTTTGACCATGAGCTGAAAGCACACAGGAGAACTCCTCCATTAAGTTTTATTGGGGTATGAGCTAGGTTACAACCTCTAAATGTTCCTGAGTTTTACTGGGTATTTAACTGATCTGGGAATTCAGCTGATTTCTTACTTCTGAGCTTTTCTATTTAAAGCTGTAAAATATGTCATGACTGAAGCAGAACTAAATCTTTTACAAGGATTTCTTTTTTAGCATTTCTTCTTTAGGTTTGACAAGTTCGCTGATAATATTCAATTCAGTTCCTGGTGTCACAAATGACTGTTAATGACCAAGCACTCTTACTTTACTAACTTTAAAGACATCTCTCTCTCTCTCTCTCTCTCTCTCTCTCTCTCTCTCTCTCTCTCTCTCTTTCTCTCTCTCTCTCTTTCTTTCTTTCTTTTGAAAATTGCTGAATTGCAAAAGCTCCTGGGTGTTTACAATAAAACACACACTAAACAAAATAAAGTAAACACATTCAGTTAAATGCAAAATTAAAATATTATGTAAACCTAATAGTTTGAAAGAAACTAAGACAATATTAATCAAAATAGAATTAGAAACCAGTGAAAAAGACTGGGAAAACAGACCAATCATCATCAGATGTTGAAATGATGCTATGTGGCTGCCGGTTGAGCCTCCCTGGGGAGGCAATTCCACAAATGGATGCTACCATAGAAAAAGCTTTCTCCCTTGTGAAAGACTATCATCTCCTTTGCTTCAGAAACCTGGAGGAGGGCTTCATGATCTAGATGGGCATAGATATGTACAAATGGGACAAGATGATCTCTCTCTCTCTCTCTCTCTCTCTCTCTCTCTTTCTCCCTCCCCCCTCTCTCTTTCAGTTTTCATCAAAATAAAAACAATAAAAATTAATTAAAGAGAAAAACAATTTGGAAAGCAATCGGATTACACAATAAGTAATAAGAAAGTGATAGTGTATCAAAATAATATACTTTTTTATATTTTGAAGTCAAAGAGTAGAAAAATTCGGCTTTCTGAAAGGAACAGTTATTTTCTCTCTCCTCTGAGTAAAATATATATATTTGTTCTCTTTCCTTTGAGTAAAACATCATATTTGTTGGCAGGCCTGGCATATCTCTATAGAATGTGTGCCAGATATCAAGTGTGCAATGAAGTTTAGCCTGAACATTTAAGTGTGAGGTTTTTCTCACTACAACTGCTAAGTGTGTGAATCATAGCACCTTTAGTACTTCATCCATATTTTAAAACTTGATCTGTGAGCTCCAAAACATGTGCTTCTATTTTTAATATGTGTTCCACTGACCGGCTTATGCCACTTATATTTAGATAGATGATAGATAGATAGATAGATACATGTACATCTATCTACACAAAACATGTGTGTGTGTGAAAGAATATTCATATTTGCATGCATTTTATTAATAATGGCAGTGGGTGGCTTGAGCTGTGAGTAATGATCTGTTGTTTTTTTTCCTGAGCTCTCTCTTTTAATAGATACTCCCTGAGAATTGATGTGGCTGTATTGATTTGCCTATTGATTTCATTGTAGTTGAATCTCCTTAATGCCTAGCTTCATGTCATCAGCTGGCCATCTCTGTCAAGAAAGTAAGAACAAATGTGATTGTACCATTGGTTCTGGCTATAGATGATAGATTTGGTGGTATGTTGTGGGTGGAAGCTGGAAGCATATAAAAAAAGTACCCTAGACATGCCCTTGGGTAAAGAGTTTCCCTAAGATGAAGTTAAGAATAATGTCTATTTCAAAAATGAAACCTCTGCAACAACTAACAAATGGCACTAACTGTGACCTGGATAATTTAGATATTGAACTGAGATCCTAACCATCTTATAGTACTTAATGGAGTGCTACAGAAGCAAATGATGAGGAAGTGAAATTATGCCAGGAGACAGTTGGCATGGCAGATCTAATTAGGAGTAGCTGATGCTAATAACCAGGAGTAAGTTGACTATTAACACTTACAAACACATTTCCTGTATTTCCATTGGTTCTTGCATACAGGATGGTATTCAATAACATTTTGATATTCTCTATGTTGAGTCTAGGTGCTGGTTGTGCAGCTTTCTTAAATATCTTGAAGTTTACTTGATCCTGATGGTACTGTTTGAGTCTTGCCTAGTGGCCAAAACTCTAAGAAACTAGAGATCTTAAGCAGTTATGACTGACTATATCTGTTTGTCCGTCCCTCCATCCCTCCATCCCTCTATCTATCTATCTATCTATCTATCTATCTATCTATCTATCTATCTTCTTCATCATCATCTATCATCATTTTTATTGTAAACTGATCAGCATGACATGTGAGATTGAAGGTTTAGAAATGTGATAAATGAAATAAAAATATATCATCATCAATATCATCATCATCATCATGGTTTAATTGAAAAGCAATTATAGACTTAAAACAAAGAACATAAAAAGAGACATGGATCAATAATTTGGTTCTGGGAAAAGAGAAGATCAAGTAGATTTTTGGTTATCTAACTAAATTAAAGCAAACAATGAACAATGAATGCAGAGCTCCTGAGAATAGAAGAGTTGCAACCATGAATTCCAATCTCTTTGTGACACTTATCACAGCATAATATTAATTTTTCCAATCTTTATTGTTTCCTCAAAATTTAGGTATTAAGGGTATGCAGGTTGTTGTTTTTGATTCTATCAGATTTTATCAGACAAACTAATTACAATTGCTATAGAAAATCTAGTTGATCCCTTGTCTTGATTTATGTACCAAAACCTTCTTAAATTGTCACATTCCTTCAGGTGCATTCAAGTTAACTGTCTAGATGTTGATCCAATTTTGATATTTAATGGAATCATAATACAAATCTTTCCCCCCTATTGCTTTATTATATGTGAAACAGTGTTCAAAAGGCTATACATGATTGCTGTGTTGTTTTCAATATTAAGGTCACTTTAGGTGGTGGTGAATTTCTTGTTTGTCTACCTGTTCTTTTTCATTAGATTTGTGTCAACACCTGCACTGTGTTTTGCTGATGATGAGTTCTCTCAAAGCTTCTGCTTTCTCAGGCTAGTCCATTTTGATTGAATCTGACAAGTGGAAATATTGATTGCTTGCTTTTAACTTCTGGAATGAGGCCAGCTGAATGGATTTTGGTTGTCATTGAATAGTTGTTCTTCTAACTTTAGAGTTTTGGAAGGATTCTATCTCACTTGCTTTAACAAAAGCTGAAAACCATTATATTGGAAAAGCAGAAATAGGTTGTTCTGATTCAGGGGATTCCTCCTATGGAGAATTTGTGTTTGTTATCTGAATTACCCCACTACTGAGAATTGTAGAAATAAGGAATAGACATGAGTCACTTTTCTCCAAAAGTGTATATGCTTGAGTATTTCATTGAAATGAATAACAGTTGAGCATGTAGAGGGCTTATTATCTCTATAAGTCTTTTCCAATGGTTACTTTTTGTTATGTTAATATGAAGTCCACATTTTTAATCTTTACTTTACAATCTTCACATGCCTTCCTTGCATCATGTGAAAACATGTCAATATATAAATATTGTAATAAATATCTACATCATTTACTCTTGTTTTGTCACTATTTCCTACAACGCAGCTTGTTAAGAGGAACATATTATTTTAAGTCAGGTTGCTGGTGCATCAGGTTTAGTATTGTCCACACTGGCAGGCAACAGCTCTCTAGATCTGAGCTGGAAGACTTTTTTCAGCTCCATTGGAATGGAATGGAACAACTCACTGTGGCCCACTGCCATGGCCAACTCACCGCAGCCAACTCGCTAAGACCAACTCACACAGGCCAATTTGCCATGGCCAACTCACTGCAATCAACTCACCATGACCAACTCACACAGGCCAACTTGCCATGGCCAATTCACCGTAGGACAACTTGCAGTGGGACAATTCAACAATTCAATTTAGTTCTTTAGTTATTTAATTTATTTAATTTTTAAATTATTTTAATTTTTGTCATTCATATTTGATTGTGTCCCTCCTGTCCTTTGGCATCCTTTCTTTAATGATTGTATTCCACCTTTTCTTAATATTACCGCAACTTTTTTTTTAAAAAAAACACATTTTAATACATTTATTGTGGCAGGTAAAACTTAGGAACATAATTAAAAGAGTCAGAATAGAAAAATTAAAAAAAATGTTATCAATTAAAAAGTGTGAATGATTTATTGGTTTTTGTTCAACTAGATCTGGAGATATGTCAGTTCAGAGTCCTGGCTAGTATGAAGTTTATTTGGTAATTAAGGGAACTATTTGCTTCTTATCTCACAGAGAGTTGTCCTACAGCAAGTTGGCCATGGTGAGTTGGCAGTGCCGAGTTGTCCTAGACTCCCACTGGAGAAGCTGTAGTTTAAACTTGGCTCCTTTAGCAATTAAAAGTTTGTCCTTATTGCTCTTATTTCTATTTATCTTAACATTTTTCATTGCCTGCTGTTGAAAAAGAAGCATTGCTTTCCGCATAAGAAAAGCTCTTTTCCCATTTTCTCTCCACAGACATTTAGGCACCTAACCAATAATTTTTAATTTGGAATAAGGATAGTGAACCATATCAGGAGAGTAACAGCAAAGGTTTGGTCTAAAAGAAATGATCAAGCAAAGCCATTCAGATAGCTAATTCACTTTCATACTGCTTATGTTTTACTGTGTCTCTGAAATACTTATTTTGCTTTGTAATTTGTGTTTCAGAAGATTTCAAAGCTTCCTATTCATATGAGGATTTTTTTTCTTTTTCCACACGAAAATCTAAGCACATACATTTGACTTCTCAAAATATGCTGTAATTACAGCCTATTACAGCATAATAGGTTTATGCTGTAATTCTATTCTATCCTGCATACATAGAGTTTATTTGGAAATAAGATCCACTGTGTCAGGGTTCCAACTGATGCCCTAATTAAACCATGAGCCTTGAGCCAAGCTTCAAAAGAAA